GTTCACATTCTTTCCCCCTCACATCAGCCAGGGGGAGTCCTTTAAACCATAAGTCAGTTCATACCACTTCTCTGCTCAAAATCCTGCTCCCTGTTTCTTGCAGATATAAGCCCAAGTTTTTACAATGGCCTATAAGGCTCTCTATTTCTTCCTACATCTCCCCTGCTCACTGATTCTCCCCTACAACAGCTTTCCCTTCAGTTTATTCTGTTTTGCCCATGCTGGCCTCCTTGTGGCTCCTTGAATACTCCAAGCATATCTCTTACCTCAGGCCTTTGCACCCATCACGCTCTCTGAAATATTCTTCCTCTGGATTTTTAAAAATTGATTTGAGAGAGAGAGAGAGAGAGAGAGAGAGAGAGAGAAATATCGATGTGAATGAGAAACATCAACCAGTTGTGCCCCATACGAGGGATCAAACCCAAAACCTGGGGATGTACTCTGACCGGGAATTGAACCTGAGACACTTCGGTGCCCAGGACGACGCTCTAACCAACTGAGCCACACTGGCCAGGGCAGTACTCTTGTTCTTGATTTAATCATTTACTTAGCTGTCCTTGCTAGGTGCATGAAAGAGGTACTCTGACAAAACTCGGATTTGAAAATGAGAGTGAAACAGCCCTAGCTGAGGCCAGAGCTGCTCACTGGGAGAGCTCATACTCTTCATGCTTCGCTGAGTACACGTATTTCCTGAGATTCTGATCTTGACCTTCTGCTCTTTATATACCTTCATACATAAAGGCCTCATCCCGCTGCTGCACTGTTGTCTCTAAGGCTTAATTTGCAGCTCAGATCTCTTTACCCTGCTAAGTTCCAGTCTGGTATCTCCAGCTGCTGGCTGGACCTCTCCCTTTGGCTATCTTCAGGCAGCTTAAAGTCAATCCACTCAAAACCCAATTCATCCTCTACAAAAACCTGCTCTTCTGCCTGCCATGTTCTCTATTTTGGTGAATGGCACCACAGTCGTCTGTTCTCAAGGCTACCTTTAGTCCTCTTGCCCTGATTTCTAAGTCTTGTTGGTTCTACCTCCTCAGTGATGCTCATATGCATCTTCCCACTTCATTGATTCAGGCCTCTGTCTTTACTCATCCAAATTATTCAAACAGAAGAACTCATCTCCTGGCCCTTCTTCAATTCAGTTTCCGTTTGGCTGCCAGCATCATCGTCCTAATACACAAATCTGATAACATCACTCCCCTGCTTCAGATCTCTCAGTGAATGTGGACAGCACTTGCCACTGTGCACTGAAATTACTATACAGGCTCCTCCTCACGTTGCTGTAAGCAACTTGGGGGCAAAGACAATGCTATTTCCCTAATGCCTAGCAAAATGGCTGGCTACATAGCAGGTTCTCAGTAAAAATTTGAGTGGAAGGGTTCCAAGTCTCACCAGACGCCACTTGGATGTGTTAACAGCAGAGTAGGGCAGTGGTTAACAGCAGAGGCTTCAGACTGGCAAGCTTGGCAGGTCTGAGTGCCAGTACCACCAACCTCCAGCTATTTGGCCTGGGGAAGATTTCTTACCTTTTGTCATCCTTGGTTTCCTCAGCTGTTAGAACACCACCCCCTCCCTTACAGAGATGGGAAAATGCACCTAAAGGACTTAGCATTGTGCCTTGCACAGAGAAGCACTCAATAAATAGTTGCTATTAATATTAATGACAGCAATCATCAGTTAAACATCAAGGGTTAGAAAAGATCCAGGATTTGGAAGCTAGAACCATTAGGCTCCAAGAAGTAGTGACAATGTCACAGACTTAAGTGGTAAAATCAACCTTGAAGCCCAGTGTCAAACAAGGTAACTTGCTGTTACTCTATACAGCTGTGGATGAAAAGGGGCCACATACTAACCCTGATAAGCTCAGGGGAGGTCTGCAAGGTGGGCCTTATAAATTCAGAGACCGAAAGTAACCACACAGGGTAGTCTGAACATAAAAATTCCTAAGTGCAGGTCATGCTGGGTAGTTGCATCCAAGGCCTGTAGCTTTCTTGACAAGTCAGCCTTTATTTTTATTGATTTTTTAGAGAGAGAGGAAGGGAGGGGGAGAGAAACATCAATGTGAGAGGGAAACATCAATTGGCTGCCTCTTGCATGACCCTAACTGGGGATCTAGGCCGCAAGCTGGGGGACGTGCCCTGACCTGGAATTGAACTTACACCCCTTGGATTCACAGGATGACACCCAACCAACTGAGCCACAGTGGCCAAGGCGACAAAGGTTAATCTTAACTGAGCCTGTCCTTGTTTTGAATCTAAGATAACATACCCGTGGAATGTCATTCTTCTTTTCCAGACCCCAGGGCATACCCATCTCACCAGAGCAGCCACAGAGCCCCTCATTGTTATGTTGTCATCCCC